GTCCTTGCGTGCTCAATGTAGCCTAGAACAGTCACATGTGCCTAAAAAAAGCACACACCCCTATTTGTATCTTCCACTCTCTCTAGCCTGGTACCAGGCTGAAATACAATGTCACTGCGCCAGTGCAATTTCTTACCATGAAAGACAGTGTGAGGTCTGGCATTCCTGACAGCTTGACGCAAGCATCTACAACGCCCTGGATTTCTGCAAACACTGTTGTGCCTGTCAAAACCAGAGAGAACAATTCCTTTGCGCCATTTTACAAATCTACGGCAAAAGTGCAGTCAGCATTTCAACAGCGGACATTGTTTTTTCAATAATAACCTTCTCACTGAAATGAGTGGCTGAGGTATCTTAACCTCCCGTTTTTATTTAGAATCTGATGCTAGCCATTTTATTAGAGTAAATCATTGTGCATTACAACCTCAGAAGAAGAAGAAAATTAATAACCAAAAGCAGCCTGCACAAGTGTTTCCTTTGCTAAGGGAGAGTGACAACCTTATCTAGACTGGCACAATGTGCTATGCAACGCAGTCGGTCAGACAGACAGCAACTGTGCTTGTCAGGAGTTGGAGCACAGCTCGGTGTGTCAAAGTTACTGCAGGATGACATCTTTGAAAAACCAGACTCTCTCCTTGTGAAACAACAGAAAACACCTTTTCAGGACAGAACATCATTTTTTGCGTGTCCAGAAGTACTTCACACGAGTGCTTGACTCCAGCTTTGTGTGTGGCAGTGTAACAGGTAAAATCATGTGCACGCGCACCAGCGTGAAGCATCACGACTGTACCTGACTTGTCCAGAATGGCATCTATTTCCTCCACCACGTCGAAGTAAGCTTCGTTGTTAGTGTACTTGACCCCGGCCCTCCTCCAGGGGATAGTGGACAGCTGACCAGTCGGCAGCGTCTCCCCAACATTGCTGCTGCCTGCAATATTTAGAAGATTGCAGCATTTCCATGGAGACCACTCAAAACGCACAAAACAAAGTGGAAAGAGACCATCAGTCCCTGGTGAATAAGTTCCAAACTAGTGTTTTTGTAAAAAAAAAAAAGATTCTACTTATTATTCTGGGGGTTCTGAACTCTGCAGAACTTCCCCGTGACGTGGCGCAAGGCTGTGGGGGGAAAGTACAGGGGGCTTTCAGGATTTACCTGTGATGGTATTGACAACAGAGCGCAGGATCGTGGGCGGTCTGATCAGCTCTTTCAAGATGTTTGACTCTGTAGCCAAAGGAAAGCCATTATCTAGCATCTCCTCAAGAAGCTCATACACAATAACTACATTGTCTTTTACAGCAGCCTCCGAGCACTCTCCAAAGTAATCCTGTTTTGGAAAGACACACAAAACACACTTCAGAACACAAGAAAAATAGCAAAGAGGAGGCCATTCGGCCCTGCCTGCCTTTCTGATAGTACGGTAGAAAGTGAAATGACGCATCATCCTAGTTTAATTCCCCGTTAGTTCCCAGCTCAGACCCTGGGTCAGAATCCCCCCCCCCCCAAGCATGAAACAGTCCCCTGGGCCAACCCTATCAACACACCTCAGGAGATAAAACACTCTTTGCCCACTGGTTTTTGTCCCAGCTGTGCTTTGAATCGCTGGAGCTGCCCGATGCCTTTAACGGGCCTGTTTGGGAGTTCGCAATTTCGTTGAATCATTTAAACATTTGGGTTTTGATTTAAAAGTGTAGTGCTCCAAATTATACAGGAAATTATACAGGAAATTAGGAGTGACTTTATAAACGTATTAGAAATTTGCTTATTTATGGCTAACCAGCACTTATAATAGATGATACAAGGTTGATAGCTTGATACAGGTACAGGATACTAGACAGGTGGCAAAGACATTAACAAGCACTTGCAGTAATTTTTTCCCTTCTGCACAAGTTGAGCTGGTTACCTTTCTGTTGACACACCTGAATGAAAGAAGCTGTAATGCTCACGAGCAGACAAAGGGTCACCTCCGGGTACAAATGCCACTCAGCTCTCCAAGAGCGGAGTGGTGGCTCTGTGGCTAAGGAGCTGTGCCTGTGGTTGGCAGTTTGCCGGTTCGTATCCCGCGGCCGGCAGAGGAATCCTACTCCGTTGGGCCCCTGAGCAAGGCCCTTAACCCCAACTGCTCCAGGGGCGCTGTACAATGGCAGACCCTGCACTCTAACCCCCAGCGTCTCTCCCTGCCTGTATGTCTCATGGAGAGCAAGCTGGGGTATGAGAAATAGACAAATTCCTAATGCAAGAAACTGTATATGGCTAATAAAGTGATCTTATTTTATAAGAGCTGAAACAGCAAACTGAAATCGATTACCCTGCGATTAAGAACGCAGCTGGAACAAAAACCAGAAGAGACCCGAGTACCCCGAACAAGGGCTAGGTGTGCTACCTGCGTGTTACCTCCCACGGACAACAATTATTATTATTTTATATATGGAGTTCTTAAGAAGAAAAGGGGAAAGCATAATGCAAATTTCACCTGCACCTCCCTTTAACTGAAGAAATACTTCCGATGAAGACGGAAAGCAATACTCCAGAGAAACGCTTTTATCGACCGTTACCCCAGACAAGGGTCAGCTACATCAATCCGTGCACAAAGCACAAGCTTGTATTTTTTAAAGAAAGAGTTAAAATCGACCCCCCACCCCAACCGAGGCCGCGCGACGGCTCACCTGAAACGTCTCCGCCACGCGATGCAGGAACTCGATCACGAAGAGGGGCGGCACCTCGGTCTGGCAGACGGACACGAAGAAGATCTTGCCGCGGAGGATGTTGATGAGGTAGTGGTGTGGCGTGGGGATGACCGGCGGCACGTTTTGCGGCTCGGACACCTTGCCCTGCGCCTCCAGGAAGTAGTCGCACACGGAGCGGCTCACCGCACTTTTCCAGTGCTTCTCCAGGAAGATGTCGCCCGCGGGGTTGATCAGGAACAGGCTGTGGATCATGGTGGTCGGGCTGGAGAAAACGCCAAGGTTCAAAAGCAGCCGATGAGTTACGGCTTTGGCTCGGCAGTCTGGCTGGGTTTGCTCTTTCTCCACCGTCCGGGGTACACGCTACCATAACGTTCCCACTGAGTAAAAGTTGAATCCGGGGGTTTCTGTCGGCGGGGCGATACGGACGGCTCACCTCGACAATGAAACTCTTGCTGTGCACACTTCGCCGGCGCCTCGGAGTCCAGGCCGTTAGCCGAGGCTGTCAACTAGTTAATTAAAAAACTTAATCCCTGACAGAGATCAGCCCCCATCGCCCGGGTGCAGGTAAACGCAGGACGTAGGGAGAAGTGTGCAACAGGCCAGTGGAATTAAAATAGGAAAGTTTGATAAAACAGCGCCAGTGAGCCATAGATAACGAAGTACAGCGTCACTTAAAACCACGCAAATGTGCTCAGACTTAAATCTTACATGATTTTGTTCTCTCAAGTAGTCCGGTCTCTGTGTACAGAAGACAACCTGTAGATTTAACCAAAAACTTTGTCTGTCTCGAGTATTTGATGCGGGGAACACAACCAAAGCCCCGCTGTAACTAAAATTAATCATTTTAAAAAATCTTGCTACTTACGAGCCTGCAGATTTCCTCGATGCGGGTTAAACGAAAGAAATCCTCCCGCAGAAAGATATAAAGTAGCGCAATCCAGTACCTTGAAGTGCGAGCTCAGTTCCGCTTCTGCGGTGTGGCAATATGGCCGCGCTGTGCTCCCGCATGGACCCCTGCGAGAGTTCCGACTTCTGTGCCTGCAGCCTGCGCACAGAGACGGGACAAAAACGGCAAGTACTTTATCCAAGTGCGAATTTAACTTTTTTTTGTAATTTTATTTTATTATAAACTATACGGATTTTCCCTTTGAATTCGGTCAAGAACGACAGAGCAGCTCCTTCGCGGCGGCTACACTCAGGCGTTCTCCGCGGACAACTTAGCCGTTTTTAACTCCTTTTTTTTCCCCCACGACTTTTTCTTGGCTTTTTTGGTCAAGGTGGCTCAGGCAGACGTACGCTGAAGATGGCATCGGAGGAACCACAAGCAAAGAAACCGAAGCTGGAGGAAAAGGAGCTCAGGTAGTCCGGAAAACTGCTTTATTAACTGAGTGCACCGCTCGCCCTTATTTGAGAGAAATTAACCCGTTCGTTACACCGGGCTCTGCGGGTTGTGTTTGGGATGGGGGGGTTTTGATGGGAACCGGGTTCTTATTTAAAAAAAAAAGTAAAAGTTACCATCACTTTCCAAGTACTCTTATGCTTGTGGATACTAAATAAACAGTCGTCTAGTCCAGGGCAAAGGGGAATATTATTGTAGTGAAAATAATCTTAAGAATCGGGTCCATTTTTAAAAAGTATTATAGCGTTAGTTAAGTCTACCGTCTTGATTAAAACAGATGAATCGCGTGCATTTCGGAGCATGAATGCACCCTTCGCTGGCTCATTATAACTGCTTAGCGGTGGCCGAGGAAGGCTCTGTTGTTTCTATCTCTATGTTCATGGATAGCGCAAAGCGGCAGCGCTTCCGAGCTGCCTTGAACATGCCGGGGCGGTGAGCGTGCAGCCCGGAAGGTCGCCTGCTCGCGCTGCTCAGTGCAGAGTTCCCTCCACGTGTCTTTTGTTATGTGTAGCGGCGAGCCGCGCGGCGGGGGCTGACGTCTCCCTGTTACACAAGCCGCGCAGGTCGGAGCTGACCCCGGCGCTCGCTGGGTAACCGGCTGGTCAGCCGGCGGGGCGGGGAGGTGCCGCGGAGCAGCTAATCGCTAGAGGGGCGAAGTTTTTGGCAAGGAGTTGAACAGGTTGCGCGCCTTTAGGAGGAAAGGTCTTAGGAGTTCAAATGCCTTTTTTTATATTTGCTTTAATTGGCATGAGATGTTCCCCCCCCCCCGAAGTTCTCACAAATATCAATTGTAAATTAGTGTCCCCCCCCCCACACGCGATCAATTGAATAGTCATGATGAATTTAAACAGCAATTTTAAAGTTATTGCTACAAACTCCTTGACTGTGCTAGGTATGTCTGGCTTCAGGTGTTTGATATCGGGGACTCGGTGGATTGTATAAATGCATCCACTTTTCTGTTTTAAGTCGTCGATTAGTTAACTTGTTGAGAATCGAGCTGAAATGAACTTTTTCTATTAAGAATTCAGTGATCTCAGGATCGCAAGTCTTGGATTGCAGCACGCAGAATCATGTCAGATTAGTGTTTCAAACTGTTCTGCTACGATTGCGGGAGCACAAAATTCATACAAAACGCCTTCCACGTCTTTAACATAGTGAAAGGGCTTTTCAGAAAACGAATTCGAATGTTTTAAAATCTTTTTTTCCCCCCCGTGAAACACGCAATTTTGGCCCAGATCCTTCTTTGCAGCGTGTAAGGAGCAGACATCACAGAGTTTAGCGAGATGGGACTTGCTAGGCAGTGCATATCACTTTTGCATTCAAGACGGCGCCGTCTCCCACTTCTAACAAAAATGTGCAGTTCTAGGACCCCGAGCGACAATGACGCAGCCAACCGCGGACGTGGTATATAATCCGCCCCGCCCCCTTGTGTGTCGGCCAATCAATTCAAGAATACAGGCGGGGGTTCCGGTTTCAGGGGCAAACTGATACAGAGAGCACGCTGCCGCGGCTGGCTTTCTGCTCAGATTAACACGGGGGAGCCTGTCTGCTGCTTGTCACCCGGCTGCGCCAGGACCTCTCGCTAGCGAGCATGCCCGCAATAAGGTAATGATGCCTTGATACGGAGCATTAGGGGGCATTAGTGGCGGTGACAGGTCAGTGATGGTCTACTGCAGACTGCAGGCGTGCAAGAGCATACCGTGCATATATTAGATTTATTTGATGTGGCATTGCATACTGACCAACATGAATATCGTTGATCGATACAGCGATACAGATATGGCATTTTATCGGTCTCAGACGAAGGTTTTGACATGTTGAAACTACGTTCTGCGTGCACGCAGATGAGTTAATTGCGCGTGGGTGGGGTTGGAAAAGTTAATGCACATCACATTCTTGTTCGGAGCACGAGCCCTTCATTTATTTATTTTTTTGACTTGCAGTAGAAATTCGTGCTTGTTTTTAAGTTTGAGATGTGGAAGTTTCCTTTATGGCCATGCACAGACACCCCGCGCATGATGCTAATGGTAATGTTTTTTAGAATGATTCGTATTTACTCTCATGCATCTTGCATATAGCCGTAAGGTGCAAGAGAACTAGCTGTAGGCGGTTGATATGCAGTTTGGAATTCGCACCGACAAGCATTTCTGGGTTTTGGTGAGTGCATAGCTCGGAATGGCCTGAAATCTCCACCTGTTGTGAGAGGCTCCAGCACAGCAGTTTGTCTTGCAGCATATGTGCTCCTTGGTGTCTTCTAGCAGGGATCGCTGTGAGATTAGATGGAGCAGTGCTTTGGAATTCGGGACGTTACATGGTGTGGTTTTTTTTTTCTGTCTTATTGGTCTTCAACTTCTGACTTATGTGGTGACTGTTCACAACATTTCAGTGTTAAATGTTTTAAAAGTGTGTTGTAGGTTCTGTGCACCACTTGGATAAAGTTGGAGTCCATATTCATGACTTAACTTGCATAAATGTGTGGTTGCAACGTTTTTTTTTTAGTTCAGTCCCTGGGGGGAGGTAAAATAGTTAAATTCCTGCAACTGTCCAAACCGGATTGTTAATGGTAAAAAAAAAAATGTAGGGGCCTGTCTTTGTGTGAGGTCAACTACGCAACCTGATGCAGGAGGGAACTGTTTCTTTTCATCTGCTTTTGAAAGAAGTTTCCTGCCCTCCCAGGGATGACTTAATGGCTCTGAGAACGTGCTGGAAGTTTTACAGTCCTCTGTGCTGGGGAAACCTCATTGCTGCCAAAATGAAAAATCTCACATTTACATTGGTCTGATCTAGCCTGCAGCCAGGGAATAGTTTTGAAAGTTTTGGGGGTGGAACGCGATGTGAGGAAACATTGTTTCACGCTGCCGTCTCGTTGAGGCTTTAAGGGTTCTGATAGGGGTGCACGAGGGCTTTCTGCTGTACAGCACGTGGCGAGTGTGGTTCCAGAAGGCCGTGCTCGGGCTCTGCTGCAGTGGCGGTGGGACACGGGCAGAGCCGGTCCTCCTTCTTTCCTGTTGACATGTGGGGAAAATCTGGACCTGCTTCTGTGTGTGCTGGCGGAGGAGCTAATCCCAGGCTGAAGAGGAGGAGGAGGCGGGAGCTCTCTAGCGCCTGAAGAAGGCCCAGGAGCGGAAAGCCTTTCTCCTTTTCTGCTTGGCATTACCCTGCGCTTGACCATCTGCATCGCAGACACTCGACCGTTCTGCAGGGCCCGGGGCGCTGCAGCTGGTGCGCGTGAAGCCGAGTCGAGTCCCTGCTGGTTTCCTGGGAGAGCCGTTTCCTCGGGGCGAGGGCGAGTCAGGGCGAGCGCGTGTTGAGGGGGAACGAGGAAGGTCCGTGAATCCTGACGTTCGGCTGTCTCCTCCGCAGTACAGAGCGACCAGTGTCAGGAGGGGAGGGGGGTCGGCTTCTGGAGTGAGGGCCCTTCGGAAGCACAGAGCATGGAGGTGGAAAACCTTTCGCGGTTTAATGCTTTATCCACCCTTGAGACAGCTGCGGTTAAATATAGTGTCTTACATAAGCATTTTAAATTTTATACATGACTTGCCGTGACTTTCCTGCAGAAATGTTCCCTTCTCTCCCTTCTTTTTCTTGGAATATTTCTGTAATGCTGGGGTTCTGTAGGAGGGTCTTTATGCACTGGGGTTTTGTTCACACATCTTGGTGTCATTTCTGTTTACATTAAGTGTGAACATTTTAGATACAGGTAGCAGATGAAAACAAAGGAAAGGGTGGGTGTCTTTCTCTTCTTGGAGAACACAATTGAGTGAAATGTCAGCAGCCTTTACTTTCCTGCTAATTTACAGAGACTTGAAAGTTAAAAGTGGTCACGGTCCCGTGGTTCAGATTCATATTTTAAAATGTAATATAATCTCTGTAAAATGGAGGGTATTTCATTTATTGATTCTCACAGTCAATATGTGGTTTTCTAAAAGTACTGCTAAATGGAAGGAAGCTGTTAGTCAACCACTTACTGTATTTATTGATGTAATTGCATTTGTGTGGAATTAATGGTTTGTGTAAACAGGGCAGTCTGGACGATCATACCGTGACTCTTCTACTTCGTGACCATAGGAGGACGAAGTGTGATTGTGATAAAATAGGCTCTGGTATGTACATTAATCACGACAAATGTTCAACAGTGGTTAGTGAAATTGACTTTGGACTGCCAGGTGAAAGGCTCGTCTCAAATAAAGGGCAGAAAAACTGTCGCCAATTACCGTTTTTTTCCCTCCAAGGTGAGTTGTGCTTTTCACTGCGCACGGCTCCTTAGGGAAGGACCCGTGAGGGTCTCGTGAGCCGTTCTACCTCGGATAAGAGCGCGTCGCTGGAATTTCCTGCGTGGCGTGATCGAAATGTGTGTGTTTTTTTTCTTTTCAGCCAAAACGCGCTCTTTGGACTGGGGAATCCACTTCTAGACATCTGTGCTGTGGTGGACAAGGACTTCCTCGACAAGTGAGTCTTTATACACCCACTTACACCCAGGGCCCCTAGACCGCGGGGGAGCTCAGTTTGGTCAAGCTCGCTCCCCAGATGGAGGGTGCAGAGCGTTGTCCCCGGTGGGCGGGAGGAGACGCCAGCGCTGCTCCCCTACAGGTGTGCGCATGTCTGAAATCACCGCACTGCGGTACCCCAAGTCATCCGACTGCCGCTGCACGTGTGAAAGCCAAGGCTTGTTTTACCAGCTGCTTTTAATTGAACTGAACAAGGCAGAGCAGACTTCAGGCAGGAAGTGTTTGAAGAGAAGTGACAGATGGACGGTCCCCTTCTGTGGTCTAGGGGCTCTGCAGTACAGTTCTGACCAGCATGTTGGTATATTAGAAGTGGCAGCTGGTCCAGAGAGGGCTATGTCATGGTACAGAGAAAAGGAACTCTAAAAGCTGCCATGTAATTAGGCACGTATGTTGTGAACCTGTCTTTCCAGTGTCAAATGTAAATCAGGTGAGGTTATGGGTCATAACAAGTTATTCGAGTTTTTAATTTTCATAGTCAGACTTTACAGAGCTGCAGCCAGTTGTTGGGGTGTGCTACCAAATTCCATGTACAGTGATAATTCCCTGAATGAGTAAAATGTTTTTAGGGTTCGTTTTGAAGTGATGTGCGGATTTCAGCGGTTTCTAAATTGATAGTGGTTAACCCTCTGCAGGTTACAGACGATTCATGACAGCCCCTCTACTGAGGAGTTGTGTGTGTGTGTGGGCAGTTTGGAGAGTGGCTAATGGCATGTTCAAGTCCACCAGCAGCTGACTTAAAGCAAGGCGTTGGTCTTTGCTGTGGGAGAGGGCAGCTCTGTGTTTCCTTCGGAGGGCGCAGTCCTCTGTGGCGGTGAGATTACGAGGAGTTATCTGTCCTAGGGAAGTCAGCCGAGATGCGAGGAGTGTACTTATCAGACTCAAGTGCACGGCCAGGAGGGTGAACTCGGCTTTCCTTGCTGTTTAGGAAGAGGCTAAGACACCCAGCACTGTGGGTATTGCTAATGAAGGGGCGTTTGGAAATGAGGTGGCCGTTTGGCTCGTCAAACTCCTTTTTACTTTAGAAGTTAATTGATCCAAGGATCTCATCCAGCCATTTCTGTTTTCCCAACAGCTGGATGAGGTCCAGTGCTCTCAAGTTGTAATGCACTTGCTCTCAGTTTCCAGTTGGCTGGAAACAGGTGCAGAAGTGCGGAGTTAATGATTCCCGTTATGTAAACAAGGTTTAAGTTGACTAGGCATGTTGGACTGGACCTCAAAATGAAGATTTGTCGAATTCATGTCAACAATGTGGACCTTCATAGAGATATTTTTAACTGAGTGGCTTAAATAGCTTTGTACATAAAAAACAGTATTATAAATGTTGTTGGGTTCTCTGTTACTCCAGTTTCACCAGCGCCAGTAGATGTTACTTGTCTTAGCTGAAAATGCACAGTCTGCAACTTTCTTGCATTGTGCAATAGTATACAATGAACTATTTTTGCATCCCAACAAACAGAGCAAGGGGAGTCAGGGGGAGTGTGTTTTTACATTTCACGTGACCGCAAAGTTATTTCAGCCTTAGCGGTTTACTGTTGAAGAGGAGCGGAAGTGGAAGGGCTGTGGGTGGTGAACCAGCCGATGCCGGGCTGGTCTTGCCCAGGTATGCGTTTTGGAAGTGAACTCCAGCTGGGCAAGGAGATGGGATTTTGTAACCGACCTGCTCGCTCTGGGCCCCTGCCAGCCGCCAGAACTGCAGCGGGTCGGTGCCCTCTCGCTGCTCAGGCACTGCCTGTGGCTCAACTGTGAGCGGTATTTGAGGAGAGATGGGAAGACTGCTTTCAGTAGCCTCTTTTAGTGCAGATTTTTAAAGAAGTGATGGATTTTTAGCGTAATTGACCTGTCTAAACTTTGGTTATCGTTCAGCAGCGTCCGGCGAATTAAAGACCTTTGCCAACACACAAAGGCTTAGAAGCAAGTAAGAACCCTGTGAGTTTCTTAAAGGCTTTAAGTGCATAAACCCCTTGTTCTGCCTGGATTAACTGCTGAGCTGATTAAGCCCGTAAGAGTGAATTAACTCAAGATTCAATCTCTGTATTTAATAAGGAACAATGCCCTATAAAGCAGGTGTTCTGTTTGAAATAGGGTACTCGGTCATACTTGTACTTTAATATGGCCTATCATTGTTTCATTTTTCTCAGCCCTTAGTTTCCATGGGACGTATGTTTAAAAGCTGAAATGGAGGAGCAAGGATTGGTCATGCATACTGCACAGTGCAAGTGAACAGCTTTTAAATCTGCATACTTTTCTGCGAGGTTTGAACTTTTGAGTTCTGCACTTGAGAAGATTGAAATCATTAACTATAAGCCCTGCGCTGTTGTTGATGCGAGTTGATATCCAGCTTGTGCAATCTTGATCTGCATCACCCACTGGTTTCCAGCTGTGCTGTGTGAACTGCAATCTTATTGATCTTTTTTTCTCCGCATGGCATTTCCCCACACAAGGCTCTCTGGTCTGACGCAGGATGATTTCTTGCCCACTCGGTCTTTAAAATCTCAGGCCGCTGGTCACAGGGTTTTGGAATACAAACAGCTGGCACGCAGTCGGAAAGGTTAAAGCAAAGTTCATATGTTAGTTTGAGTCCAGAGCACGTGTTGGCCGCGAACGAAGGTTAATTCCACGCTGAAAAGTAGAGAAGGAACGCACTTCAGGATGACTCAACAGCCGAAATGTTCTTTCTGCATTTCAGCATGGGATTAACTTGAGCGATCCCACGGTTTCATTTGCGTGTGTTAGGTTTCTGTGCCTCGCCATGCTTCTCTTGAGCTCACCCCAGTTCATGGGTCCGGCTTGAACAAGTAGGATTCCTCTTCCTCTGTGAGGAGGAGCCTCGGACAACACTTCCTGTACTCCCCACTCATGTTTTCACCCTTCCACTCGCTTTCTGCAGCTCGTGAACTCTTCTGGCTTCAGTTTTCTACACAGATATGTCCGAGCTCTCCATATTAATCATGCATTCATGATTTTGTAAGTCAAAACCTTGTTCACAAAAACAAAACCTCAAAAGCCAACCGTGAGTCGTCCAATAGTGTGGATTTCCCTTTTTAAAAAAAATTAAACAGTCGTTATTGACTGTGCTGAACAGATTGATGTTCTGAGGTACCAACTTTTCTGTTTCTCACCTGTTATTTGTGCTCCAGTTTTAAATTGGGCCTCTTTCCTTCAAGCAAGAGAGAGGAAAACATTTTTAGCCCCGTTTGTTTACCAAAAATTAGGCTGGGTAATATAAAGATCTCATTTTACATGCACATTTAAAAAGTTATTTGGCAGAATGAACCCAGGAGACTGAAGTGTTCCTGTGAATAAAAGAACATTTCCTGCCCTGCCTGGGATGTCAGCTGAGGAAAGGTACATGGATAGACATCAAAATGTAGGCAATGTCTCGATGAACTGGCGACACTGCCCTGAAAGGCACGTGATTTGACTTGGCAGAACTGTCGTTCTCCTCACTTAGATTGCAATCGAGGAGCTATAGCGCAATGCTTTTTAGGTAACCTCATGCAAAAAAGCAGAACTGCCTTTTTTTTTTGTTCTTAAACAGCATGACTTTGTTCCCGTTATCTGTTAATGAAAATACTTGTGCTGGTAGTAAATGTCTTCCAGCAGAGACATGTGACAGCTCTTGGCTGTTTATGACTCTTGCAGCTGTGTGTGCTGTTGTGCGCCGGAGGACATTGCTGTTGAGAAAGCCGTAGTTCCTGCTCCACAGGCTAGAAAGGTGGCGGAGCCTCTCCAGGAACTCCGTGCTCTTGGAGTCCTTCTGTGACTGTGAGCGAGTTCTCAGGATACCATGAACCTTTTAAAACTGAAAGCAAGCTGGACTGAGAAATCAACCCTGTGTGTTTAAGTCAGTAGATTTAGGGTGGCGAAATGGGTGAGTGGCTTCCATAACCTCACTTTTGTTGCACTTTCTGGCCAGGATAAATCCCCTCAATGTGTTTCCAGATCTGGATCTGTGTTGTGTGAAGCCGGGTGACACACATTGACTGGGTGAAAGTTTTTTTTTTTCTCCCTGTTCACTGTTTAAATGTGAATCTTTCTGTAATGAGGCCTGTTGGGTCTTTACCAAAAACTGCCGCTTTGAACTCACTGTAACGCTTGATAAAGGTAAATATTGATTTTTCTTTTTACTGGGAAAGGGCTCTTTTTCTGTTGGTTATCATTTCATGGACTGGAGATGATTCAGTTACCCAAAACCTTGGCTTTAGAGCTGTAAGCTTTTTGTACTGTACAGAAGCTCATTGGACAGTTTCTTTTGCCTGAGTCGAAATATTTCAGTTGGCCATGATGTGTCAGCTGGCGACTCTGTTAATGTGGCTCGGCCTCGTCTGGTGTGATCTGCCGCTGCGGGGACTGCTGATTGGCTGTTCCTGTCGGAGCTCTTTGCCTTGAGTGAAGGCCAAGGATGGGAACAAGCACCACAGTCTCCCAGAATGCCCACAGCAGTGATTTCTGCCCTGATGCAGTCCCACTCCGAGTAGCAGGTGGTCTGTAATGAGCATAGCATAATTCTATAGTTTCAACAAATTGTAAAGTTCACCTATCTTTAAAGTAAAATGCTTCATGTATGCATTTCAGTGAAGATCTCAATTCAACTCTGTGTGCCCGTGTTGTGGACTGTAAACAGTCAGAATTGATTTTCTTCTGTGTTTCAAGGGGTCTTCCTCTATTCCTCTATGCATTTGCTCTTTGTCTGCAGGTTTCCTGTTGAACACCTGTAGGCAAATAAGTAGCTGATTAAACTGCCATCACCTACTCCAGATCTGTGCTTTCCTTCAGGGTACAGTCACCTGGCTGATCTCTTGAGGGCACCCATGTTACATCAGCCTGAGATTGAGAGGATAGCAGCTCATGTTGAACAAGCTACTATGCAGGGTGCTGATATAGATCAGCATGTTACGCATTAGAGGAGCAGAGCCGTATTTGACAACACTCTTAAAAGGGTAAAACAGTTTTCTGTTAATGCTCCTCTTGTTTCCACGAAGATTTCCCCGGACAGAAGGATAAACATGAGTATGAACAGTGGCTGCTCTCTATTGGGATTCTTTTACTTTCTTTTCCCCATATTGAGGAAAGGTTTGATAACGTTCAGTTTAACTGTGCTGCAGCAAAGTGCTAATTGCCCTTTCGAGCCTTCTGCTACATCCTTAGTAGTTGAAAATAGTTATCAAAGCTTTTTAAGGGGATAAGTGCTAGACATCCTACAGTTGTATGTTTGAATAATAAAGTTGTCCTGTTGACATTTTTGAGGTTCAAAGTATGATTTGGTGCAGTGTTTTCAACAACAGTAACTGACACAAAATTAATGTTTTAAATAACCACATGTCTGCTTTTTTTAACAGGTATGGACTGAAACCAAATGACCAGATCTTAGCTGAGGAGAAGCACAAAGCTCTGTGAGTTTCCAATCCTGATGTTTTGTTTTACATTTAATTCACAAACACATGAAGCAGAAGCCGCCGTTCCCTGGGGATAACATATACTGCTACCCTGCCACATCTCTACAGTCTGTCACCAGAACTGTCTGCCATTGCTAGAAAAACTGCCAGTAATCCCCTGTCCCCCCTGTTCCTCAGTCAACATCTGTCAGAGATGTTACTGTTGTATTGAGATTTGCAGAATAGGAAAATGTTGTTCTGCGGGACCCTTTCTCCATCTGCTCTGCTGCTTATCAGAGCAGCACAGACATTGCGCTCGCTGTACCTTCTTTTCTACGCTTAATAGCAAACCTGATGACTTTTTGAAACCTTATTTTAAAACATAGGACAGGTGACAAACTAGAGGATGCCATTTGGTCGTTAGCTGATTGATCCAGTGACTGAATTCTTCGATCTTCTCTGAGGGAATCCAGGTTGAAATACTTCACTGGTTCAATGGTGAACCTCATTTGGAAACGGCCTTGTGCTGTTCTTTCCTTCCCGAGCCAAGGCAGCAGCTCCTCTGGTCTCGTGGGAGAGTACAGCAAGAGCTTTCCAGCGGTGTGCCATTGTGGGCACTGCCCGCGGCTTCCCGAAGAGGGAAGGGACTGGCCTGGTGGTGAACTGAACGTCATTCAGGTTTCGTAGACAGTCCTCGTGGAGAACGAGGCCGCGTTCTCCTCCCCTCTACCAGTACTAGGGGAGGGACTTTGGACTGTGCAGACCGTGATAGGAGCTGGCGGCCCCAGACCTTTTGTAGCGATTCCCCGACAGGCGAGCTGGCTCTCTGAGAGGCCAGGAAGAGGGTCTGTTTATCAACACCTGCTTGGGGAACTCTACAGTTGCAAGTTAAACTTTTGGAGCTCCTTGCCGTTAAAGAGCTAACATCGTGACTGTCAGGAACCTCTTAAATTACTGTTGAAGCAGAAGCGGGTATACTTCACATTTGATCACTCAAAGCATGTTTTTTGAAAAACAGATGTTGTACAGATGTTGTAATTGTAGTATTGATTAAATGTTTTGATTAATCTTTCATGGCTGTGATTCACTTGAGACTTTGACTCTTGCACAAGCACTTAATCTCACCTCGTTCGTGAGGGACTTGATTGGAGTTGGGCGATGAGGTGATTTCATCTGTTAAATGACAAACGATAAGCCCAGGAAGCAATCTTTAATCGAGCTTATCAAGAGATCCACACGTTTGTGGCACTGCTACGTTGGAGACTGAACTTGGTTGTTTCGGGCCAGCTCACCAGCCATGGAGCCAAGTCCTCGTCACTGGAGTCCGGTTCTGTGTAGACCTCCTGATGGATGTCTGCGAGGGTGGTGCTGATGCGCAGGATGATCGAGTTGGGGGTGCAGGTGTGCTGGTGTGATCAGGAGTGTCCAGTCTCTCAGGCTGCTCTTATAGAAATTGATGACAGCCGGGCTGCATGATGCTACACTGATCAAGTCCTGGGACCCCACTTGGGGGCTCATCCTGATTATTATTTTTATGTTATTGAATCATTTACTCAGAATTCAGAGTGTTAATGCATCCCGTCACACTGATTCTTTTCTGTGCAGTTCTCCTATCCGTGTGGATTATAAATTCTGATGTTAATTGTATCTCAAATGTTTTTTACTGTGTTATTTTTTTGGTTTGGAGTGTTTTTTAATATCCCTCTAGTGGCTCCAGTAAGTACGCAATAAGTAAAGCCAGTGTTTTCGCATGTATATTTTGGGATTACTACATTCAGTGCTATCTAAGCTGTGTTACCGAACAAAGTTTTTTGCATTCCTTACCAGATATAGCTGAATGTATGAACAAAGAAGTTTGACAATTCATGATTGCTAAGGTTGTTTTACATGGCGGTTTTGTGCAGTGTTCTATATAGAAAAATACCTTGCAGCCAGGGCTTGAATGTCTGGGTGTGTGCCGTTGCAGAGCCGATCACTGCTGGGGGAGAAACGGAACATGAAGTTACAGCACTGGGTCAGCGGAGTAAAATCGCAAATCAAAAATGTTTTTTAGGGTCAATGAGCAACAGATGTGTAACCTTTAGGACGTTCCCACATCCTGAAAAAATACATTTCATGGTGGAATGTATTTTCAAATGCTTTCACATCCACAGTGTTGAGAATCTTGTCTGTCAGCAGAACTGACAAAGAGCGCGATCACCAAACTCCCAACAGTGGGTTTGAATGAAGCCGCTACAATTGAACATGAACAATAGTCTGTTCAAATAGCATCCAAGGCTCGTTTCTTCCACTGCCTCGGCTCTCTCGGACACAAGCCACGTTAGGAGCAATAACCCAGTAAGAGAAGTGACTGGGCCCGGCTTGATATGACGTTGCAGTTTGCAGTGGTTTCAACATCTCAGAAGAGTCAAGATAAATTCCCCCCAGTTTTTTTTTTTTGGAAAGGTCTTATTTTTCTGGTTCGAGATTTCAAAACCGCGTGCCGTCCAGCAGTGAACAGCAGAACGCAGTGAGCTGCTGTTTCAGCTGGCCTTTGTTAAGGCTGAACAGTGAGGGAGCTCGCAGGAGAGAAAAGGCTGTGAAGATGGTTCATTAATTACAGATGTGCCCCCTGGATAAACTTCATGTAACTTCAGAATCCCCAGGGGAAAAACAGGGCTTTGATATCTTCACTATCCAGACTGGAGCTACATTCAGTGCTCCCCTGCTGTAGTGTGGAAGGTGGATCCCACGAGTATTTCTGTTCCCGTAGTAATTTTCATCAGCCCAAGTTAATAGATTAATAATACAAATTGGTGTTCCACTGGTCTAAAGATTAGCCTATGTCACACTTTCACCTCCACTGTTGGCAACTTGCAACATGAGTATAGTTGTCTAAATGTCCTAGTAATGTTTACAAAATATGTTTGAAACAATGTTTTACTTTTAGCAAAAGCAAGCTGCCAGTCACATTTAGGCAAAACAGTCAGTGATGTATGTTCTAATTTGAATGGGTTTAAATATAGATGTCTAAAAAGAACAACGTGGTAACTGCTTTCTTGGTCTGGGTGTTGGGCAACCCGTCTGTATTAATACTTAAATTAAAGTTGCTTCAATCATGTCATTTAGTTCCAGTGATCTAGAATGTGTCTTTGGAAAACGTATGAGGTGTGGAATTCAAACACTCAAATTGTTTAGGAAGAAGTAATAGGTTTTATACCATGCTGAAAAAAGAAGAAAGTAAACGCACCCAAAGAAGGCCCCCCAGCCAAAATTTTTTTTTCTTTCTTCTCTTTTCATCGTGGAATAAACCTATTACTTGTTCCTTTTCGTGGAAAATTGCAGTGCATTGAGGTTTCAGGGAGTTAGGTTCAAATAAGTAAACGAAAACCTTTTGTTTAAAGGCTAGTGCTTTGCTACTGTTTTTCGACTGTTTCATTGTTTTGAGTGTTGCAAAACTTGTCCTATATGAGTAAATCTCTTGGTAGCATAGGAACAAGTAATAGGTTTATTCCATGCTGAAAACCGGAAGAAAAAAAACGTTTCGGCTGTGGAGCCTTCTTCAGGTGTGAGCCGAAACGTTTTTCTCTCTTCTTGTTTTCAGCATGGAATAAACCTATTACTTGTTCCTTTGCAGCCTATGCATGCTGACGCAGCTCCCCACCTGAACGTCTTTGTAGCATAGTTCACAATGACAAGTCAGATCGTCCAGATGCTGTTTCCTTGAACCTCACCGCAGAAGGTGCATTTGGCTTGTGTAAGTTCAGAAGGTTCCGTTTGTCGTAAGTGTACAGCCTTAGAAAATGTTCTACAAATGATTGATGCTTGCTGATCTGTAGGTTTTCCTTCTACAGAAGCCCATTTCATGACTTTTATCCTCCCCTTGCTTTACAGTCGGGTTGATCTCCAAAGTGCTTTTTAAATTTCTCCGTGCTCGCAATGTTGCACCAGACTAGGATTCCGAGTTGACAGGCCTATTCAGATTAACCAAACAGAATGGTTTAATTCACTGTATTTAGCTCTGCACCTTTTCTCTTGGAACACTCCTATTTTGGAGTCTGTTCTGTCTCCCTATATATTTTGTTTTCTGTCAACCATCCATTCAGTGTAGACTATAGATTGAAAGTGTGGCTAGAGTTCCGCCATTGGTCACTCTGTCCACCACACTTAGTTTTATTTTAAGAGTTAAAGACTTTCAGTGTTTGCTGCCTGGGCTCCAGAACCCAGCTGTATTATGACAGGCAAGCTCTATTTTCAGGTTTCCATTGGGTGCTGCCTGCGAATTGGATCAAGATCCAACCCATTTATTTGTTCGCTGTTTCAGCCAGCAGGACTTCTGCCAGTGACGTCCGAAATCGCAAGTTAATTTTTCGTGCACTTGTGTCCCAACACATCTGCAGGGCAATTTTCAGCACTCGGCCTTTGTCATGCGTATCAGTTGCTCTTGATCATTATTACTCTTGCAATGCTATGATGTCAAGTCAATTAAAAAAATTGTCCCAAAGATGGAGTGAACTAAACAAAATGCTTAAGTTAGCGAGAAATGTCCTGTGCGAAATTACAGGTAGTCTCAACACTTTTTTTGACCTGCCGAATCCTTTAGGGTCAATTTGGTTTCTTGAAAATAAACATGCTGTTATTTTCGTTCCTTGACTTCTTTGTAGTCTTGAAAATTGTGGGTGCTGCTCCATCTGACTTTTTGTAATAGTCTCACTTCAAGAACTACCTGGCCAGTAACATCCACGTTTTCTAAACTTTTTATAAATGTTCAACATTCACTTTTTGTATTTCAGTGAAAAAGCCTTTATACTGTATTGTTAGATGCGTTTTGTTTTTTTAATGCGATGAGCAATTATCGTCCTTGGAGATGTTTGTAGGATCATAGTTTATGCATTATGAGATTTGCATTAAAAATACTACTGGATTTATAATTGCGCCTTTAATCTTTTTTTTTAATTTCTGGCACAGTGCTTTACTGCTGTGAGTTATGAGTATAGTTTAGTAGATTTCTGTGATATAGGGGACTTCAGACAAGTGTC